GGATGCTTATATGACACAGATGTAATTAGATAAATTTTTCAGTTTTGCATGTGTATGAATACATGAGTTCCTTCAGCTGTAAGGAACTGAGACAAATGTTTTTAAATCCCTTGTTTCAGTCATACTTCAAGATCTTTAGGTCTGGTTTTGATTCTTCACACATCCCAAACATTACAGTGTATATACACTGTATATACAGAGTATGTAGTATATACCTGTCTTCTGAACGTACTCTTCTGGGATCAGTAAAAGAAGGACAGTATTTTAAAGCCTATCTTTTTCCTATAAATACGTCTTTACAGAGACTCTTCTTTGGTGCTAAATGTTAACCAAACAAACGTTGCAGCTCAGACTGTTACTGCATTTCTCAATCAGCTTACATTTAAAAGCGTATACCTTTGGCTTTAAACTGAAAATATTTCTCTTGTGATTAAAATTTTGATTTATTTTATTTTTATGGTGGTTGTTTTAACAGGAATGGAGCTGGTGATACTGCTAATTTTTCACCGTGTTGCATAAAATGCCTCCTCAGCCATGGCATTTTTTTATCTATGGAAAGGTTCAGTTCATCCTACCATATTTCCTTATTGTTCATGTGCTATATTTGCCTATAGCTTGGAGTTTAGGGTATTGCAGTGATTATCATTTAGAGAAAACCAGTTAGTGTTTAACAATCTGCTGATGCACAGGGGCTGTCTGACACTTTGCTGTGGTTGAACTTGAGTCACATGTATTTATGGCAGTTTTGCCAAGCTCTGCAAGGCGTGTTGAGTCCACCCCAGTGAGAGGAGGGATGCGCTGGGTTACTGGCAGGGTCAGACGAGTCCCCTGGCTTTGCTGCAGCTGGGCTGGATGGATAAGTACACCCTCCCCTCGAGACACAGGCTGCGCATCCCTCCAGCGCGTAGCAATATTACTATTTTTAACTGATTTACTTTGAACAAGAGAAATGCTACTGCTTTTGCACCCTTCTTTTACGGAGGCATCAAATAGACCTTTATTTTTTATTGTAAAATGTAGGGCTTCCATTTCTCCCAAAAGAAATAGCAAAAAGCTGGTTCCCAATAGACTCAGACAGCGGCCTTAGGGCTGCAGCCTCTGCCAGAGGCCTGAGACAGGGGGACAGGAGCACTAACAGCTTCACTTGCTAAATTGTAGTTGATGCTACTTGGCCACAGAACCAACAATCGTCATTATTGTCCATACCAAGGTATCAACTGCTAAACACATTTTGGCACAGGGTTTCAGGTTGTCTTTGGGCCAGGTTTACACCCAAAGAGGGCTCTGAGCACCATCAAAGCTGACCTTCGTGTCACCATCAGGGTGTTTGTGTGGAAGAGAGAGGTGAAAGCTGGTGCTGGCAGCACATTTACAAATGGCCATGGGGACTGAACCCATACTGCTTTCCCAGGGGCTGGGAAGTGGTGGCATAGATACAATCAAGACTCAGTTAACCAACTCAGTTAACCAATGTTAACTCTGTTTTTCAGAGCCAGCCAAGCTATTGACGCTGGTTCTTATGTGTGTTCAGGCTCGACCAGATGTGGTGTTGCACCCATATATAGGGCTCAAGTACCTTTTCATATGGCATACTAAAATCAATATTTAATTAAATATTAAACACAAATGTGTTAATAACATTCAGGTTATTAGATAAATGTTTCTATGTTTTAAGACTAAATAAAACCTACGCAAACCTTTAAATGACTGTTCAACAAGTCACAAAAAGGTTTGCAAATAATAATAATGTCTTTTCAAAACTGAGTGTTTGAGCCCTGTTCTATCCCTATAGTAACACAAAAGGTGTACAAACTTAAATTTACATAGGGGTGCTGGAAAGACACGGAGCATAGTACCTCAGGCCTCAAAAACTATGTAAAAATTATAAAGGGAAAGCAGAAGGTAGGTGTAAAATATTTATACATGGAATTTATGACGGCATGGGAGCTGTAACAAGGATTTGTACATTTCTTACACAAGACCTGGAATGAACCTTAAATAAAATATAACCTTAATTGTATAAAGCAGAATGGCAGGGTTTCCATAAATTATACTATGTGAGAAACTTACAATAATGAAAATTACAGAGACTCTCTCCCCTAAAGGGTTGTGTATTATTTAAGAGCTACAGACATTGTAACAGAGGTATCAACAGAGCCATAAAGATGTCTATTAAAATTGAATTTTTATTATATTTTTCATCCAAAGTTGTTCCTCTGGCATTTTTTTATTATTATTTACTTATGTCTTTTGTATTTCTTAACATTGGAAGCTTTTTTTAAGTTAGGTTTCTGTTCAAGGCAGAACATGCAGTTTGTGTATGTGAAATGAGAGAAAGGCAGTAACAGGTATCCAGCCCTCCAGACGGGTTTTAACAGTTACTGCGAGCTGACCTTTGCTGTGTTAAATACAGACATAGCCTCACATACAGTAACACAAAACCAGCTTTTCTTACGCTCTCCAAACCAAACCAAAGCCCAAGATTTTGCTTTTTCCACTCTCGAATTCCCATTCACACACTCAGCATGACACTAACCTACACCCATGTTCCTAGACTGGGTTTACAGAAAGCTCTTCTCAGAGGCAAAGGAACATTATGCACAATCTGTTACACAAGTCATGCATCTCCCTGATGGCACAGAGTGAGCACAGGATTCATGTAGTCCTTAAAGAATTATCTCCCTCTTGTCCTTTGGCCTCATTGAAACAGCACAAGAGTCCTGTCTGCCAGGTTTGATGACTCCGCAAACAAATTAGAGAGGGGAAAAAAAATCTCAATATATATGAGAAAGTGTAGGTTGTACCTGGGTAACTATATTGGTTCATCAAAACATCTGATATCATTAGTTCATTAGTTTCAACATCAGTATTGCCCTTTAGGAATGGATTTAACCCTGCTAGAAGCTCTGCAGAAGGTTACATCTCTCTCAGCCTGAGCATGACATTGTGGGTGCAGAAGTGCACACAAAGAAGCAGCAGCAGCATCACTCAAGACAGGGTCCCAGGTCACCAAGCAGCCTGTCATTCAGCATAGCTGTGTATCTGCTGATACAACTCGGCTCTAATAGCCCTGGAGGCATTTCCAGCTTTTTTTTTCTTCCCAGAGTGCTTGGGGTGCCCGGGCAGAAGGTACAGAGCTCGTTTGGGCAGGCACATCTGGGAACAGAAGAGCATATAGCACAGAGGAGCTCTGTAATAGCCATATATCCCTGCCTTCCTGGTGTACTCCACCAAAGGTTCTCCACTACATAGCCATCTGCACAAGAAAATAGCATTACCAATGAAATAAATGCTACCACACACCAGGCTGTCCCAAATAAAATACTATTGTGTCAAATAGTTGTTGCAGTAGAGTTTCAGGACATTGCTAGCTTATTCTCCCCTCTTTTTCAGAGAGAAGGTCAAGATGTTGAATGGTTGTGACAACATGTATGGACGTATGTCTCACCAGACAGCCACACAGGTGCTCAAATGCTGCGTTTCCACTGATGGGAACTCAGAGATGTGTACATGTGTGTGTTTGTGTGTGATTTTCTACATACACTTAGCAAAATGAACCACGCTAGACATTATTTTTCATATCAGAAATTGGACCTAAGTCCAAGTTTACTGCTGTCAGGTACTTGAGACAACACCGTGCCTGCTTCCATGGATGTGTCCTCTCACACAGTTGGAGTCTCACAGAAATGTGTCTTTTTCTTCTCTTCCTGGGACAAAGGACTTAATGTCCTCATTCCTTTCTAAAGCAGGACTCAATTACAAGCTGGCTGACACAGGAGTGTCATAAGGGGAGCAATGTGGCATCATTTGAGAGTACTTTAGCTATTCCTAGAAGAGTTCCTACAGGTGACAATTACTCCAGCAGAACTAGAGTTTTGCTAGGACTACTTATTCTGCTCAGAGAGCACCTGAGTAGGCTATTATGGCAGAAGTGGATTTTGCCAAATTATTAGTGTCTGTACAGGACATTTTCTCAGTAAAATCTTTGAACTACTTAGAGTTGTACTTTGAAGTCTGTTGGAGTTGTTTCTTCTGCCTCTCGTTAGAAACACAAAATACCCTTACATTCATAGTTCAGTGCAGAATGTGTCTGAGAGAAGACAGGTCAGCATCTTTGCAGGTATCTAAGATGATCTATATTTCTTTTTCCTAATGACCATTGTCTTGATAATCTTTCACTGTAGTTCAAAGTCTTGGTCCTGTTTAGCTTGGTTCACACCTGGCATGATCCTCAATCATTTGCCGGTGACCGTTCCACTGGTGAAATTCATCATTTCCCCAGTGAATCATGACTGAAGTAGAGCTGGTAGAGCAAAAACAAGGAAAAGAATTAATCAAATAAACAGAAAATGCATTAGGAATACAGACACAACATCACAAAGAGCTCTGACCCGTAGGCTAAACTGGAGAGCTGTTTCATGATGATATTTATATTTCTAACATGACAATGATTTATTATCGTTGCTACAGTGTTACCCCCTTTGCTGCCCACTTCCTCTTTGTGGGAAAGGCAAGGAGCAGTGAGCTGCACACATTCAAAGGGAAATGAAACCTCTCAGAAAAGGGATGTATTTTGCAGAACAGTAGAAAGACCCAGTATCATGATCCAAAATTAACTGTAAAATCTATATGTCTGTCCTAGACTTCCTACACACACGTTATGTTTGGTGCTCCAGGCTTCATTCAGGAGGGAGTAGGATTGATGAACTGTTTCTCATACTCTTTCATGGTGTCAAGCGTACCAGGAAATGAAAACTGAAGGTTTAATTAATGTAACCTGTGAATGTCAGGACATGCAGAATTAAAGCACATGCCAAACCATGTGTCAACAGGCAGAGGGAGATGAGTGTAAGTAATGATCCAGCATTAATCTGAATTACTTGAAATGCTCACCGCAATTGGGAGCACTGGAGTAGTTTACAAAAGAAAAGATGAAATGACCTAATATTAGGCTGGAGTAGGCGGCTGGATTCCCTGAGGATGTGTGTTGTGTGCGCGACATGCCAGGAGGTGAGTGGCCCGAGACCCCTGGGCTGTTCTTGGCTCTGTCTGGGGAATGGAATGTGAGGGGTCTGGGGGACCCAGGCAGAACAAGAACATCTCTGTGCGACTGCTGCACAGCCTTGTTTTCCTGGGGGTCTGGCTTTTGGAGCCTGGTGCTTGTTTTGATTCAGCTTTTACAGATTTTCAGAGGCTGATAAATCAAGGTATCAAGGAGAGAAAATAGAGAACCTAGGATTTCATGTAGAGTTGATTAATCATAGAAAATTGATGCCTGTTTCCTCTCGTTAGCTTTCCATATAACCATGTTCCTGTTAGATCGAGATAAATTACTTACTTAATGTTATTTAATACTTATATTCTGACAGAGGATTCTGCTTTAGAACTTCCTGTTGGACCTCAGTCATTCTTATCAAACTGACTATTGATAAGAATTACAGCTGCTTGCTTTTCTTTGGTTATACCCAGCACTTGCTTCAGGAATCATGAAGCATGATTATATTATACTATTGATGTGTTTGCACTTTTAATTTCTCTTTTGTAAAAGTAACCTGTATCCTCCTGGAATGTGGATCCGGATCGGGATTTTAGAGCACTTTGCAGTAACAAACTTCACAGTGTAAGTTTTGCTGCCAAGGCAAAACATAAAAAATTGTTTTGTGTAGGAGGTATGCAGTGCTTTAGAAAACTTCTACTGACTCTATTTGGAGTTTAAATTCCTTCCAACGTCTGTAGCTCCACTACTGAGAAATTCAGAATTATTATGAATATTCAGCAAACAAATATGAATTCTTGCTTAAGCAGTATATGAAAAAAATCAGACCATGATAGTTAAAGGAAAATTGAAGCTACAAGGAATGAGGTTGCTCAGTTCAGCTGAGTATTAGGAAAGGTAACACCAGTTGATAGTAGTCAGTGGATCACGGGACACAGGCAAATCAGTATCTTACTGATTTCAGAGTAGAAATTTGAAATTTTTACTGAGAAGGCGTTCTTCATTGCTGGGCTGGTAAAGTTAGGATTTGTCGTGCATATCTATCAATTGTGCTAGTATAGTGCCATATCTGCAAATGTATCTAAGAAATCAACTGAAACACTTTTCGGTTCCTTAAAAACACTTGATTTTGCTGACTCAGAAAGATCTGATTCCCACTTGATTAATTATAATCTCAATTTCTACTTGAGAGAACTCTTTTTCAAGAAATGTCACCCAACTTGTAAAATAAAGTTCACTAAATTTCATCAGGTTTCTCTCATACCATAAGAAAACTCAATAACATTTTCCCCTGCAGTTGTTTCCTGGTTTTATTTCTTCACACAAGAAGGAATTTTGTATTTTCAAATAATCTCCACGTGTCAGCCACTGCTTTTATTTCCTCCTGTAAATTATTTCATAATTTCATTTAGTATTTGCTTCCCAGTCTGCAAATTAACTTCTTGCTCTTTCACTGTTACGCTTTATGGATCAGACTGCTGTTCTAATTGCTCACTAAGTCATTTGCCTTCTATATATTTGACTGTTGGTTTCACCTCTATTTCTCATATTTGGATAATCTCTTTCAAACTGTCAGGACTGTTTTTTCATGCAAGACTTACTTATAAAAGAACTCAAAATGAAACTGCTGCTTAACTAAGTGTGCTTTGTAACCTAAAGTCAGTTTTGGTGCAGGGAGAAGAAAAGATAGCAAATGTAGCAACAATATGTAGAAAAAGCTGTAAAGATGTTCCTGGAAGCCATAGGCCAGTAAGTCTGTCTTCCATAGAGGCACATTAGGAAAGTGTAAACAAGAATATAATTAGTCAGGACAATCAAAAAGGTGATACAACTTTTGCAGTGGGAAGTCAGCTCTCACAAAAATAGCAGTGTACCTGAACATCCAAAAAGCTTCTTCACAAACCTATTCATCAAAGCCTCTAAAGAAATAATTTGACCATTAGTGAAATACTGCATTCCACTTCAAGATAGTGAAGCTTTTAAAACTCTGACTTTTCAATTAATTTTTTGCATTCTTTGTATTCAAACTGATTTTTTTTAAACCAAAAAGTGATTGATATTTTGAAATGAAAAGTTTTGTCATAAAAATGCCAAAAGAAAGATTTAATTTCATTTCAACTGTTTCAGCCTTTTACAATTTTGCCCTCCTTCATTTCTTGGCTGAAACAATTCACCAAATTTATTTGGATTTATGAATATTTCAAACACCCCAGGAGTCCATCTGGAAAAGTATGTACTTACTGACAAACAAGTCTTAGTCTATAATACAGTACCCCAGAATAATCCCAGGTGTAACACAGTGATGGTCAAAGTTAAACCAGGCATAGTGTGACCCAATACATGGAAATAAAAGGCACTTTAAGAATTGAAATTATTTCTGGGACTAAAAGCTGATAGCTCAATTTTGATAAATCATCTTTAAAGGAAAATATTTGTTGAATTAATATCTTTATACTGCTTTCAGGTTTTCCATTTCAGTGCTTCTGTGGAAATGTTAGTATTGACTGCTACATGCTGAGATTTATAAATAGGAAAATGAACACAAAATTACGTTTACTCCAGGAGGTAAAAAGAATGCCTCTTCTGAAGAGGAGGAGCTGACAAGAAACAGTCACACTCAGAGGCTCGGTGCCTCTCTCGATCAATGTTCTGCATCTTTTGGGTTTATAGTTCACCATGCATTTCCTGTCATGCCTGTTTGGTTGCCTTTGTAAACTGGGGTTTTTACTGACACAAAACTGAGCTCAGAGACAAAATTCAGCTGACTAAACAAATGAAACTGAGGAGCTCAGGCTCTGGCCATGAAGCCAGCAGCAGGATCCCCAGAGGGGCCTGTAGGAAGCAATGCCAAGGTGTAATGTTATATGGGAGGCGTGACCCTTGGCTGCATTTCTCTTGCCAGGGCATTTCCCCTGTGCTATAAGAGATACATGCCAGTCCCTGACACTGTTTGCCCTATGCCAGAGGCTCCCCACTGTCCATCTCTGCCCAGTACCCACTTCTCTTCTTCAATGAACAGGGTGGTCCAGGGATGGGTCAGCCCCCATATCCTCCCGCAGATCCCACCAGCTGGAGAGGGGTTCCTCTTGTCTGTTGGTCTTTACGTGTCTGTGCATAGGGTGGAGGTCATGGCTTGCCATCCTGCACAGAAAATAAGCATCAAAACTGGGATCAGGTCATGGAGCAGAAGGAGAAGGTAGAAAACGAGTGGAAATACTTGTGTGCCAAGGGGAACAACAGCAAAAGGGTCCTGTCACAAAGAACATTTTGTCTATGTCCTCAACATAAACAGGACATGGAGCTGTTGGACCAAGCCCAGAGGAGAGCCATGAGGATGATAAGAGGACTGGAGCACCTTCTGTATGAAGATAGGCTGAGAAAGTTGGGGCTGTTCAGCCTGGAGAAGAGAAGGCTGCGTGGAGACCTCATAGCAGCCTTCCAATATCTGAAGGGGGCCTATAAGGATGTTGGGGAGGGACTCTTCATTAGGGACTGCAGTGGTAGGACAAGGGGTAATGGCTTTAAACTTAAACAGGGGAAGTTTAGGTTAGATATCAGGAAGAAGTTCTTCACAGTAAGGATGGTGAGGCACTGGAATAGGTCGCCCAAGGAAGCTGTGAATGCTCCAACCCTGTAGGTGTTCAAGGCCAGGTTGGACAGAGCCTTGGGTGACATAATTTAGTGTGTGGTGTCCCTGCTCACGGCAGGGGAGTTGGAACTAGATGATCTTAAGGTCCTTTCCAACCCTAATTATTCTATGATTCTATGATTCTGTGTGGTTTGTGTCTTGCCATGCTGTTCCCCACAACACAGAGCTGCAGTCCAGCTCTTTCTAGCACAGAAGTTTGATGAGGAGACTGGTGTCCAGCAGCTCCTCTGAACGCTGTGGTTTAGCTGTGGATGCAGGCTGAGATGCAGCAATTCTCAAGAGCCCATGTCTGGGGCTGTCTGGGGCTGTTGTTCAGAGGGGGTTGTACGCAGGGGTGAAGGCAGAGGCTGTCACTTAACCATGTGAGGCAGGACCAGTGTTAGAGAGGAATCTGTGCTGGTAGCAGGTTGCCAGTGAAGGGAAGATGAGTGCAGTTCAGCACTGTTGGAAGCATGGTCTCTTCGCGCTGCAGTTGTCTGTCTTCCAAGCACAAGCTTATCAGACTGAATATGATTTCCTTTATTTCCTAGAGCTAATGTCTTTACTTCATAATTTGCATCTCACAATTACAAAGAGAGGGAAGCAAATAACTATCTCTTGTCCAACATGATTTTTCTTTTCTTCCAGCAAGATTGTTTTGGCTTAATTGATCAGTTATGTAATCCCTTATTAGTCCTAATAAAAGAGCAGTAAAGTTATTTATCATGAGTATTGCTCCAAATTCCTCTGGATATGCTTTTTATTCTTTAGTAATATCTTATTAAAGCAAGATTGTCTTATCAAAAGTTTTAACCAAAACAAAATTACTATTTGTAGGCTTTAGTAAGGGAGGGATTTGAGAGAAGACTGAAGCACGTCTGTCCTGAGAAATCCCATGACAGGGAATAAGACCAGAGGAGACTTTCATTAGGACTCACCTACAGACTTGAGCTGTGTAGTGGGACACAGAGAAATAAGAAAGCTTCAGTACTGATGATTTTAAAAAGGGCTGATAATGGGTGACAGACACCGGGGTCCATCACTGGGTGCTGGGTGATGTGCCACCCACACTTACAGCAGGGACCTAAGTCAGGCTCAGAAATATTTCACCTTGCATCACAAAGATGTGGTGGGGACAGACCCCTGCAAGGCAAGAGCCACCCTTGAGTCAGACCCCATGGTGCAAAACAGCATCAGAGAGAAGGAAGTGGGCATAATAACCCCGAAGCCTGGAAGTGATCCAAGGCACAAAGAGGGATGGAGTGAGCCTAGTAACCAGGCCAAAATTCAGACCTACACTGAACTCTTCTTTCCAGTGTGTTGTCTTCTGCTTTTTGTTTCATTCTGATTCTGGAGGAAATGCTGGCGTTAGTTTCCTTCCCCTTATTGCTGGGACATGGCCAAGCACAAGTGGGCAGCAGCTGGGGACAGTGTCTGTTTTTTTCCCAGGCCTGAGCTGTACCACAGGGATTTGCTGCCAGTTCATCAGTCTTGCATGTGACGAAACTGCCAACACGAAAACTACAGGTTTATTTTTTTCAACTGTTCTGTTTTGTCTTCCAGGGTTTGGCATGACCACCCCAGCCACCGTTGGAGGCAAAATTTTTCTGATCTTTTACGGCCTTATAGGATGTGCAGGGACCATTTTGTTCTTTAACCTGTTCCTGGAGCGCTTGATCACTGTCATAGCCTACATCATGAAGTCCTGCCATGAAAGACAGCTGAGGAGGAAAGGTGCCCTCCCTCACAACAGCCGGTGGGGCTCAGGGACCTCTGAGGTGGACAGCTTGGCGGGCTGGAAGCCCTCCGTGTACTATGTCATGCTGATTTTATGTGTAGCATCACTCATCATTTCCTGCTGTGCCTCTGCAATGTACACACCAATTGAAGGGTGGAGTTACTTTGACTCACTTTACTTCTGCTTCGTGGCCTTCAGCACCATTGGTTTCGGTGATCTGGTCAGTAGCCAGAACATCAAGTATGAGAGCCAAGGCCTTTACCGCTTTGGCAATTTTGTCTTCATACTCATGGGGGTGTGCTGCATCTATTCCTTATTTAATGTGATCTCTATTGTCATCAAACAGTCCATAAACTGGATATTAAAGAAGTTGGACTGCAGGTGCTGCCACAAATGCCAAAGAAAATTATTTCGCTCACGAAGGAACGTGGTAATGCCAGGAAATGTGCGCAGCCGGAGGAACATCTCCATCGAGACTGATGTTGTCAACGAGAGCGACACAGACGGACGCCGGCTGTCAGGCGAGATGATCTCCATGAAAGACTTCCTGGCCTCCAATAAAGTCTCACTGGCCATCATGCAGAAACAGCTGTCGGAAACTGCTAATGGCTATCCGAGGCAAATGAGCTCTAATTCAAAGCAAAATGGATTCTCTGGTGGGGTTGGAGCCCTAGCAATTATGAATAACAGACTGGCAGAGACAAGTGTGGATAGGTAAAATAGTAACAGTAATAACAGTGAAACAGTGGGAACCATTTCAACAAGTACAGAAACAGTGTGAACCAAGTAGAAACAGCTAGGGAGATGGTGTCACCAGAGGGTGGGATGGATGTGAATGGCATACCTCCTGTTGGAAGACCTTTGACACTTTTTTGGGGCTGTCACTTAATGTCTTTGCTCTTTGAATTGCACCAATCTCAGCCTTCCTTCTTCCCCTTTCTTCTGTTCCTCAAGCAGGTCACTGCATGAGAAATTTTATTTAGCCTTCAGATCAATTTTCCCTGACCTGTTCTCCTCCATTTATGTGAAATACAGATTTCAGAATAAGAAATCTGTGATATGGGAAGAAATCAAGTGTGTCTGCTGAGCACATTCTTAATTCAAATATTGTTCTGAGCTCTCAAATATGTCCTACTCTTGTCATACCTGTTCTCTGAAAGTAGCTTGCCTGAGACCCAAAGAGGAATCAGCCTTTCTCTATGATATTGCAGATGCAATTTAATGGAAATTAATATGAAAGTTCCTGGGACTATTCTGGATCTACTGTGATGTGAATGAGAAGAGAATTTGGCCTTTATGATTTAATTTAGTCTTCCCTTTAAAAGGATACTGTCAAAAGTGATAGAACAAAAATTCAGCCTTTTGTTTTCTCCACTGGCAAAACGTGATTTTTTTTCTAAGCTACTTTGACTTCGAGACTTGAATCCCTGTGGCTTTCTGTTTCAGAATTATCAAATTAAATTGAACACTGCCATACTGATGACTTGTATCAATTATTCCACAATAACAGAGACTTCTCCAAATTTCTATTCATGTTTTGCTCAATTGTGACTGAAGCAATTGAGCGTCAGCATTATGTAATGCAACTAGTAACTGCATTTACACAACAGGCTTTAGTATGCAATTAGATTGCCATGCCAGCATTCAGTGTAGTATTGTAAGTGACTGCGATCACAAAATCAATTCAGCAGTGTCCTTTTTACCTTCCATGTAATTCTGTCATTCTTCACCAGTTTTTCTGCCTTTCAGTGATGGTAATGACAGGGTCTTGATTAGGAAAATAGAAAATGTTTAACTCCTAATTTTTCTCAATGAAGTGTTGAGTGTTCATTACAACTAGAAAGGAGACTTCCATGAGAAAAAACGTAACAGTGAGAAGAATATAAAAACAGGAAGAACAGAGGTAATCTTTAATGACAATGAAATCATCCTTTGTATTAGGTAACTGAACAAAAAATAAGGGATTAAGTTACCATAAAGTCTAGCAAGAATTTAAGGAAGACTGGGCTGAATTTCTGATTCTCCTTTAATCATGAAGTGCATTAAAGCTAAAGCATGTATGAGAGTGTAAATAAGGAGAACTGGTCACAAAGGACCTGATCTAATTCCCCCTGAAAAGAATACTACATGATTCAGGACTAAGTGTTTTCTCGCAGCTAGAAAGCCTAGCAGAATACTACAATTCTGGGGAATTCAGAACACCATTATGCAGTTTTTAATTTGTCTCATACGGAACAATGCAGATAGCCTTTTCAGTTTAATTTGATTAGGAATTCATATTGTATTCTTTTTCTTTATCCTGGCCAAATGTTATTTTATTTAGGTTCATAATACTGTAGAAAAACATTTTAATACTTATTTTAAGCAATATTTGGATTTGAAAACCAAACCAAACCTCTTGGAGTCCTTTTATATCATAAAGAAAAATCAGATATTAAACAAATGTACTTAACTATTGAAAAGAATTGCAAGCTCTTTAACATATTACAGCTAAATTATCCTGATCAAAAGTCACATGCTGCTGTCCTTAGTTACAAGGAGAGCTTCGAGCTGAAGCCATAGTCGATTCTGATATCAACTCAGCTGTGCAGCAGTGGAGTACCTCTAAAAGTACCCCTTCACATTTGCATCCATGTAAAATCTGAATTGGCTTCTGAAGCCTAACTTTGCTGAGAAATGGAGTCTCACTTGGGGTTTTGGGTGTTATGTATTAGCAAAAATTGCCACTGAATTATTTTAAGTGACATTACAGTACCCGATATCCGTTACATTGTTACAATTATTTTCTTTTATCCCAAGACCTTCTCTGTCTCAACCTCACTCAATAAAAATACTTGGATAAAAAGAGAAAAGTACTGCTCTGAAGCCTTCTTTCCAAATTGCAATGTCTTTGTTCACTGCCTGTAACCCTAAGATCTCATTTTACAGAAGTATTTCTCATGCTGTCAACTAGCAGAAATAGGTTAGGACTTGCCCCTTTCCTTAAGCAGGGCTCTCATTCTGGGCCTAACAGCCACAGTCTTGAAAAATGCAGCTTATTTCTCCATTTATTCCAGTTATTAACTCTTAAACTGCAAATGTCAGTTTGCTTAGCACTGAAGACAGAAGTTACTCAAGACTCCTCTGTTTTCCAGATGATCAAGGCAATGCAGATTATCATCTTAGACAAATAAACAGAACATGCAAGCTTTTTTTGTTTATTTATTATATAGTTCTATGTCATTGTTAATGAAGGATCTGGCTTCCATGAAGGATTTTCACTCAAATCCTTCCATATCTAATTGGCTTTCAAAATTTGATTCTGGAAGTCTAAACACAGAGCAATATTCATAGCAAATAGGTGAGAAAGCAAATCAAAGAAGAGAAAAACATATGAAACTGGTGGGAATAGATAAAACCTGACAATCTGTGGTCAATTCAACAGAGATTATTTAGTTTTTAGAATATGACACATGCCAGTAGCAGATTATTAAGATGGTCTTCAGATGATTTCAGCTGCTCCCAAGACATGAGATAGTTATGTTGCTCCTTTCCATTCTTTGTAATGCCAAGCCTCAGTTACCCAGCATCACAGAGGAATCTTTATCAGCTGTTTTCAGTAGATCTGAAAATATCTATGGTAATGAGAGAAAGGGACTAATACGTAATCTTGATCAAACAGATTGGGCAATGCTGTATGAGATCTTTGGTGTACACTAGATCTGCCTTCATTGATCAATCCTGACCTACTCTTTCAAACACTGGCTTCCTCATGACTCAACCCTGCCAGTTGCAAGGCTCTCTGAAGTGGTTTTGTCGTCTGATTTCATGTCCACAGAAGATAAGGAGGGAATAAGTGCACTAATTTTGTCATCTCTCATTTTGTCATCTCTCATTTTGTCATTTTAATCATCTCTATTGAGATGTGAATTTCCAGTCCAGAGATGAAGGACCAGTACATTCTGTGACTGTGCCATCTTGTATCATGATATCATCCTGCCCCCAAAAGGTCTGACTTTGTCATTGAGTTCCTCCTCCAGCACCATGCTGAATATTGAATGAGGCAGCTTTACCTAGGAGGCCAGAAGAATTCTTAAGGAATATTTGGAGATAAATAAGACTTTTAAGATCAAAAAGGGAAATTTCTGACTCCAGTCCAATAGTACTTCTAAAGTTGTTTTTTCTAAAGCACTGGATGAAGAAATCCCAAAAAATTCAGTTCATAATGGTGCATCAGGTTATTATAATTGTAAAACGTGTGGAGATATAAATAGACATGTGCCAAAAAAGCAGAATTTAGCATAGGAGTGAAAAATGCCCATCCTGTGTGAAAAATAAGTTACAACAAAAATACAGACATTTCTTAAATTAAATTTTTAAAGTACTGCTGAGGAACTAAAGGAAATAGTGTCAAATAGCCAGAGATCTATTTTCAAAGCTGTGTAATCTAGATTTTAATGCCATATTGCTTACCACTAAAATCTCAGTCAACAAGACAAAATGCTGAGTTTCCCTATTTTCTGCTATGAAATTGCATGATGGCTAATGAGACAAGGGTGTAGAGTTTTTAATGCAGAAATGTTTTGGGGGAAACCTTGGATGTACTGAGGCTTTGAAGCTGCACTTAGCAGGTCAGGAGTACCTCTAAAATCAGCGGGTTAAACGCAAGATGCAGCCTGGCAGACTGAAACTGAAAGTCCTTAATGAAGTAATCTCCTGGAAGTTGGGCTTATTATTATGCATCATCTTAATAATATCATAACTGTACAATATGATTATTGCACATTGAAAGGAAATATTTAGTGCTAACCAAAATACGATCAAATAAGTAAAGGTAGCTCTTAGGTTTTTCTGGCTAGTCTTAGGTTTTGTAACATTTGTGTATCAGATGCTTTGCTGGGTCTGTAGGTGTCAAAGGAGTTACAGTAATTTCTCTCCATGAAGGACTGGTCCTCTGTTTACAAGACATGAATAGGCTTTTCAAAGGCATCTAATTCTTGCTGAAAGTCGATTCACCTCCCACTACACACTGACTTTCAGTAAAAGTCAGGTACCTAATTACCTTAGGCAATTCCAGAATCACAGCTGTGTATTAGGTTCTGAATCTAAGATGACCTGACAGCGTCCCTGGAAAGTTCAAACACTTGGAACAAGGTTTCAGTGATGCAGCACAGCAAGAGCTGAATTCGTTTATTTAAAAGCTTTTTATGGTGAAAGGTTTGCATCAACCGAATAGCACAAGCAATGTTTACAGTTTGCTTGGTTTAATGGCAGCCTCTGCCAGTTTTAATTATATTTGACACATTTATAAATTGAATAACAAAGAGAAGGTTGGGCTGGGCATCAAAAGCAAACCAGCTCCATTCCTCAGGCTGAATTAATCAAGTGAAAGAGGTCAGGTTGGGGAAAGAGCTTTCTAGTTAACATTATATTTGAATAAAGCTTCTCTGGAGGGGGAGGGTATTAAGTTGTTTGGATGACTCCTCTCCAAGGGCTGTGGAAGTCATTGCTATGACCCGCCATTGTCCCTGCTCTGGGAACAACAGCTCAGTGAGCCTTAGATGATATTCCAATCAACACAGTTTGCATCTTTTGTTGTTCTGATTTAGCTTACTAACATGTGGCTAATATCATAATTTCTTGGACTCTTCAAGAAGTAGTAATTTTGTCCAACTGCATGTACAAGTTATGGAGAATCACCCAAGTGTTGTTTTTCCTTAGCCAGAAAATACTGCCAAA